CCAAGAGTGCATAAAATCATCCAAAATATATATAAAAATCAAGAGCAAGAGCAACAGGAAAGTGGAGTTTCCTTTTCGCCGGTTGCGTGTGCCACTGCCATCGTCTTGAGCTTTAAGGTTTTATTTTTGATTTTTTTTTTTTTGGTTTTGGATTTAGCTTCGCTTCGATTTGGGTTTGGTTCGGGCTCCCGACATGCGTTTTTGATATGAGCATTTAGATTATTGCCTTGGTGTGGCAATAAAATGCGCAGAAAACGATAGCCAGACACGGATTTCGATGCCTAATGTGGAGCACTTGAGTTTCGATTGCGTTTTTAATACACTATTTTGCATGTGGCTTTCGAAAAAAAAATCTATAAAAAACAGTCACGATGGAATCGTATCGAAATCAATCAAATGGCATATTGACAGGTCGCTGCTGCTTAAGCCGCTGGTATTTTCTATTACCTTATCTCTCCGAGGCCCATGTGTCGCCATATCTATCTATGCCCATCTGGCGGCAATTTTCGTGGCAGAGTTAAGCGCTCGCTTAACGCCCCCATAAGCCTTGACTAATTGGCAAGGAAATCGCTTTTCCGATAAATATTATAAAAGCCTTCAAATGGCTTAACTCGTTTTTGTTTTTTTGTATTATTTCTGTCCACGCAATCGTTGAAATTGTGACAAATTTTAAAACATTTTCCAAATATTATTTATCGCTTGGCGTACGCATGTTGAATGCGCAATTCACGCAGCCAGTCGTTGTTTACTTAGTTGCCGGGATTTGTTCGAAAATCGAAATCGAGAAAATCGAAAATCAACAACAAGCATTTTGTCTGGGCTGCCATGTTCGATTTGGCCTCAACTTACTTTTTATATATATATATTTTTTTTTGGGGGGGAAGGAGTACTTTGGTGGCAACTCAAAAAGGCGTATGCAAATTAAAGCGATCAAATATGATTAAGTATTTGTACAAATACAATTATTTTGGGAGTTTTTCGGGGGCAAGCAACGCACTATTTGTTGATTAACAATATGTTTAGTTTGTTTTTTAAGTAAAAGAAGGAAATTACCTATGATTTTGTGGGGGTTTTAGGGACTATGAGGGAAATTTAAAGAAGATTTAAAATGTTGTAAGTTAATTTATGCCTAAAATTAGAGTTTATAATATTAAGAAATATTCCTTTAATATTGAAAAATTTCCAGGGAAATTATTTACATCTTTAAAAATATTATTCAGCAGCCTAAATCAATCTCTTCACAAAAACCTGACCATTCTTTGTTGGCATAACCCACATTTTGGCAAAAAAAAAACCCCCACACCATTAGCAGATATCACTGGGATAACTAACTGCCATGACTGGGCCATTAAGTCCATTAGCCACTTCTTTTTTTTTGGGGCAACCCTGACATCTGCCAAGCCCCTCTCTGCAAAGTCAGTCTAGTTTAGCATTTGATTCATGGGGGGGCCAGCCACCCGCGCCAGTCCAATCAGCAAATCATTAACAACTAATTAAATTATATAAAAGAGCCATTAATTAAGCCTTAAGACTCAAGGCGGCTGAGAATAGATTTCCCTTTCACTTTACAAGGAAACAGAATCCGATCAACAAGCCGGCGAACAAATAATGACAAGAACTTTGCGCTAAACTTTTGCACTTTGACACCCAACTGTGAACCTGGCCCACTCCCAATGGGCCTGTTCTTGGGTCTTTTTTTGAGGCACGCTTTGTGCGGCGGCAGTTGTAAATATTTAATAACTACATTAATAACAGCAATGACAACGGCAATAACAACAATAATAACACGCGCTGCAATTTGCCAGAGCTGCAATATAAAACAAAAAAAACTACCGTTTTTGGCCACGTTTGCTCAACTCAAGCTCAAGCTCAAATTGTTGGCTGAAACTCAGACTCTGACTCGACCACATGGAATGAATGAATGTCATTAATTTGACAACAGAAACCGTTAAATCAGCAATTCAATCACTTCGGTAAGAAGCGGATTTGCACAACGAGAAAATGGGGGCAATGTATAGGATGCTTAATTAATACAAATAATTAATTAAGCTAAATAATAATTATCAAGTTTTTATTTTCCACAGAATTTTGTAATCGTTTAGAACTGAACAGTTTGATACTATTCATCAATATTCTATGCTATTCTTCCTACTCGTCATACAGTGTGACCTTGCTTCAAAAAAGTTGGCTTAAATTAGGTAATTGTTTACAAAATGAATACCTATACTATAATTAATTATTATAATGAATGTTTTTCTTTTAAATATGAAAAATATTATTTTTCTCCCTGCACCTTTTAAAGTGCTGCGACAAAGAAACGGTTCTCGCTTTGGTTTCTCTCGCGGGAATCTCTTGCTCTTTCTGCTCCCCGGGCTCCTTATTTTGTTTTTTTTTTTTAAGACGGCGTGAGTCTTAAATTACCAACCTTGCCACAATTTCAATGCGCATTCGCATTCGAATTTGTTTGCGGTAATTGGCCTCTGAGTTTGCCATTTCAGTGGCTCCAAAAGGGGGATCGGTGGGTGGCTGGGTTGGCTGGGGGTCGGTGGGTCGGGGGTCCAGCTGCTGGTGGTGGTGGTGGTGGTGGCTACTGAAACCGCCGCACCCACCAACGATCCCAACGGATCCAATGGCAAAAGCGGACCTCTGTTACAGTGACTTTGGGGGTGGCTGTTCATGCTGCAATAATTACCTTTAGCCGGCGGTTAATTGTTTAGTTCGATATTTAATGCTTACATTTTGCATTAATTTTGTTTTAAAATTTGTTTAACAAAAAGCCATAAATTGTTTGGCAATTATTTTGAGTCACAAAATTTTAAAAGCTATTAAAAAGTAGAGGAATGTCTTTTAATTAAACAAAAGCTTAGGAATCATAAAAAAATACATTTGGTGGGTTTAGTTGTAAATTTAGTTAAATAATTTGTAACTTATTAATAAAAAAAAAATGTTTTCTGATTATTATTATCCTCCATAAGAAAATTAAAACCATTAATTGCTTTTAAAAGTTTAAAAGATTTTCTGACTAATGATTTCCGTAGCAAATTAGTAGATCGTAAATATATTCCCCGTTTTATTATTTTCTCAACACCATAAAGTTTGCCATATAAAGCGCTCATTTGTTTATTTAATGTGTTTTGTGTGGGTTTTCAACCACTGTGCGAGGGAGTTTGCCTTTTGCCTTTCAACTTCTGTGGCTGCTGCTGCTGTTGCTGTGGCTGCTACAGGTGTCTCAGTCCCAGTCTCCAGTCACCGATCTCCGGTCTTCAGTCTCCGGTCTCCGATCTCCGGCTTTGGAACTCTCGCTTTGGTGGCATTCTCCTCGATTCTCCCCCGTGTCAATGACAGTTCAATGTGCCTCACCGATGGTTGTTTCTGTTGCTGCCGCTGCTGCTGCTGCTGCTGGTCTGGCAACAGTTGTCGCACATGCAAATCGTGACTGTTGTCCATCACAGTTCTCCGGAGTCCGGAGTCCCAGAGGTTTTGGAGTTGCCAAACTTGCCAGTCAGTCAGTTTGTCAGTCGTCGTCGGCTCTGTAATTTTTTTCCTTTTCTTATTTCTGTTTTTTGTCTCTGTGCTGTTGATTTTTTGGTAGTTGCACATGCGGACCGAGTGATTTGTTTAAGACGTTTTGATTGATTATTGGTGCGCATGCGCCAAAGCGTCGACAAAACGGTCGAGTCTCTGGATAAGGAAATATTTTAGATATTATATTTTTAATGGTTTTTACATAGGAGAATTAAAAGGTTGTCAAACGTATGCCGAGATATGTTTATAGTATCTGTAGAAGTTTATTAAATTATTTAACATTAATAAAAATAAAGAATTTACTAAAGAAAAAATTTTAGAAAGATTGATTTACTTAATATCAAGTTGGGATTTTATAAAAAATAGTATTTTAGACTCTAAACTATTTTGTATAATTAAATCATTAATATTTAAGGCTTTAAAAAATATTTAAAAATAATAATGAATAAAGAAAATAGTTCTAGGAAGATTGACGAACAAAATTTTAAGCTGCCATTTTATTTAAATGTTATTTTTAGGTTTTTATATAATTTTTAGGGTTAAAAAAGCACATTTTTCTGTAGAAAATTGAAGCCTAAATCCTTTAAATAAATATAAGCTATTGTTTATATTGATTTATCTTTAAGAAACCCTCGTTAACCTGTCAAAATCAATCTCAAAATGATCTTATTATTTTCCCTGTACAACCCACCTTTGTTTTTGGCCAAGTCATGCGCCAAAAAAGAGCCGCTTTTATTAATTATTCTGACCCAGAATCTGTACGAATCGGAGCGGAGAGTATCGGAAATCTGAGAACTGAGAAACCAAAGATCGAGCTCGCGGTATATATGAGTATTTTATTTTGGAGCTCCGGCGCGCGTTTGTTGTCAGTTTCGGTTTGAAATATTTACCACCTGTGATGAATAACGTTACATTTGCGTTGATTGTTTTTTATCCGTGATTTATCGAGAAGTGCGAGAGTGGTGCCAGCACCGCCATCGATGGCCAGGCCCACATAATGCTGATTACTCAGGTGTCTGAGGTGCGTGTCTGGCTTGTATCTTGCCTCTTGGGGCCCGTGTACCGTTAATTAATTTGCAAGTCCCTGCCTCGTAGCCGTCTTTTTACTTTGTTGATGTTTCTCTGTTTTCGGTTTTTGGTTTTTTCTTCTCTTAATTTATATTTTTTTGGTATTTATTTTAGCTGGAATTTGTGGTGCAAAGTGCACGCCGGGTGGCATTCGTCAGGCGATTGGAAATGGGTTTATGCGGGAAGCAGATTACGCGAAGAAGTCATCTTGGTAACATAATGAGATGGCCATGAATCATCTTGGCCGGTAAAAAAAATACTTATCGAAGTGGTAAAAGGGGAGCCTGCTTTCTATATGTCTGGGAATTTGTGGCATTTTTGGTTTAACTTTCTTTGGTTTACTCAAGAAAGATTTTATGAAAAACGTACATTATTTTAACATAAATACCCGAATATTTTGTCACATTTTAAGGGATTTTATTAATTTAACTAAAACCAAAAGGTCTTCTTGCTCTAATAACATTGAATTACAAATTTAATTGGACTTTTTGGTCCATCGCATCTTGGAGGTGCTCGGAGAGGTCTTGCTGGATGAAGCGGTGGCCACGGATAACTTGGAGAAGGCTGATGTCCCTGGTTTAATCGAGGACGAAGACTTTTCCGATTTATTTTCAGCCTTTTGCTTTATCTTTGAGTTTGTCCTAATGCCAGATTTCGGGCGAGTTTTGTAATTCTTGATTTCCTCGACTATGGAGGTCAACAGGGGAGTTTGTGGAGGATCTGGTGCCGAAGCCATTGGTAAGGTGATCATTCCCTGAGCACTGATCGATCGACTCAAAGCCTCCGCCTCCTTGTTCGCCTCCTTTTGTCCATCACGCATCAGAGTGTTGATCCTTTCCCGCCGTAGGCGTTCTTCATTCATCCGGTCACGCTGGGTGGCCCTGATGTTTTCAAACTCCTGCCAAAAGTTTAGGCTTATCTCCGCCGAATTACGGGTAATCTCGCGCCGCAGTTGCTGGGCCAAGCTCAAGTCTCGGGGCACTTCGACTTTGGGGTTTCTTTGGGACATGGCAAGGATTCGGTAGAGAGATTTGTGGCTGAAATTTGGAAGTCGTTTGGGGATCTATATATATAGCTTGAAGGAAATAGACACGATTACTAGATTTTAAAATAAGGAAAAGCCTTTAAAAATGCGAAAAATATATCCTCTTAAAAATCTGTAATATTTTAAATGATTTTTTTTCTTAAAAACTCTTTATTGCAGTCTTAGAAAAAATAGGTTTCTTGAGTCAGTCTCGACCCCAGAGCCAGATATCCGGGCTCCACACTCTCTTGGCTGCAGGTTGAAATGTTGTCTTGGACAAAACAAAACACGGCACTCGAACATGACGTTCGTTGTCGTTGGGAGGCGATTTTGATCGATGTGCGTTTTCTAATTGCTGCCAACTTTCTTCTTAATTGTGGCAAGAAAAATGAGGCCCGTATCGAAATGGCATGAAAAGCACAACAACGCAAACAAAACGAAGAAAAGGCAGCTGCCTTTGGGTGGGGGAGAAATTGAAATTGTTTGTCGGTTTTAAATAAAGAATATATTTTGTGGCCTCTCTTTGGGTTCTCCCGCAGATTCTCCCTCCTCCCGCAATCAATCATTTTGGGGGTACGATAGAAGCTCGAAACGAAAACTTGGCCCAATTGTTAAGGCAAACAATAAAGCCGATATGGATCGCCTTGGTCAACTCCATTTAGCTCACAATGAAAACAAAATTGCAGGCTTTCGGCTGGGGTAAAGCGTATATTTTCAGCATTTTTTTATGAACATTTTTTCGTATTCTTTTTGGGCGTAGGATATCGGGAATCTTGGGCTCCCCGCTGTGCACTTGTCGAAGCCAAGAGTTCAATGCGCGGCTACCAGCTCACAATTTATCCTTTATGGCTTTTGTTTCTGCAGAAGTGAAAACAAAAGATTGTCATCGTAAGGGAGAGGGAGCAAGGAGGAGGAGGAGGCTGTGGCTGGTACTTTGCATATTATTCCAGACCCTGCTCATATCCGTACTCTAATTGGGTGAAAGTGCTCTCCTTGGCTTAGAAAGTGTGACAGTTCGTGCTCTCCCATCATCATCATCATCATCAGCAGCAGCAGCAGCAGCAGCTCAGCAGAAGCATCAACATCAGCATCATCCCCATCATCGTCATCGCTCAGAGCCTGTCAAATCAATATCTATGGCTATAGCTTATACCTGTGGCTCCGGCTATATAACATACATCACCCGCATATATAGGCATCGCCAGCAATCAGGCGAACAACAAAAGCCGTAGCCGGCCCCAGAAATATTCCCAGGCCAGGAAAACTAGAACTCAAAATCATACATCACAAGCAATTACCGGCTAAAATGCGCCGGAGTAAGCCCCCTACGTCCGATAGTTGCAGCAACTTGCCAGCCAAGCCAAGCGACTAACCTTGGTCGCTAGTTAAAGCCTGCAAAGAAGAAAAAAAATAAGAAGAAAATATCGAATAGTGGGCAGCTATTATTACTGTTGTGAATACCCTGAAAAAGGGCGGGTTATGTGGATTCCAAGGTGAAGGTTGTTGCACTTTACAAAATATGTTGAAGAAGTTAAAAATTAAAATTTAGGAATTCGGTAAACGTTTTGAAAATGTAAAGATATGGAAATTTAAGGGTTCTTAGTAAGTTATTTTGTTTTAGAAATATTATTTATATTTATATTAAGAAGAAATATATTTTTAATAATTTTTGTGCAGGTTTGAAACGAAAGACTTAGGAAACAAACTTGGTACAATATAAGCTCCACTTACTTGCTTGTTATAAGAGTAAAGAGGGAGTTCTCACCATTTTTTATAGAAGCAATTGTTTGTTTAAGAAGATCAAAACGGAGCTCAGCTCTAATTGGAGGCGGCCAGGGCTGCCTCACCACTTATACCTTGTTTAAGAAAGAGTTTCAAAATATGTTATATTAATAATAATTTTAAATATATTTAATTAAAAAAAACCCCATAGAGCATCCTTACTTCTTTATAATAAATTAACTCTAAACTTATGCCCCTCCCCGCTCTCCTTGACTCAAGCTGCTTGCTGTTGTTGTGTATGCTGGGCATGCATCATCATACCATCATCCCATTATCACATACCACAGGCCGAGCCAAGGTAAGTTGGGTCTCCGGACCAAGTCCAGAGCAGGATTGGGATTGGGCCGGTGCTGGTGCTGGTGCTGGGGCTGGGGCTCCTCCTTGGCTTTGACCGACTGAGGCGGCACTTGAATGCCTGGCATGAAATAAATCGCGTGTTTATTGTGCCAGCGGCGATGGCAGCGTTCGACGATCGCTTCAATGTTGCACATGGAAAATTGAACGCAATAGAATGCCACTAATCGATCGGACCGAGGAACTGGATGCTGGATAGTGGATGGTGGTGGATGTGTTGCCTTGCTGGATGCTGGATGCCCCCAGCTAAAAGCAGAAACAGAAAGAAAAAAAAAAATGAAATGTTTCAAGTTCAAATGCAAGGTGCGGACTGCGGACTGCGGACTGAGTCGAAGTGAAGTGAAGGAGTGCCAAGTCTGTTGGCGGAGCGACTGGCGCAAGCAATCTCGAAATAATCTAAACGATTTGGCGAAAATCACGTCGAGCATCGTCGGCATCGGCATCCACCTGTTACGTCGAGCTCATTTTTAATGCCCCCAAAACGATGGAGTCTGGATTGGCTTTGGGTTTGGGGTTTGGGTTTTTGGGCTGGCCAGCCGGCCGGCATCGAGAGCAAATTGCAAAAGCCAAATTCAACGAATGCCGGCGCACAGTTTGGCATAATAATGAAGGCGCAATCAACTGGACGGCCGGCTGGCTGGCTGGCTGGCCAGGGGCTGCTCGCAGATCCTCCAGAAAATGCTTAAAGACTCCTCGCTTACACCACGAGAAAAGTGGGCCAGCGGTTGTTAGAAAATATGCCAGGAGTTTGAGATATTTGGTGTGATTTTATGGGAATATATATTTAAAGGCATAAGGAATGCCAAGATTGTGGCCAAAAAGGATCACAGCACACATTTTTAGATGATTAAATTGTTAAAATAATTGTATGGATTTTTTTGGAGACAAAAATAAAAAGATTTACATAAGAGTTTGAAGTTAGAAACGAAAGACTTAGGCAACGAACTTGGTGAAGCAAGGAGTTGCTAGGATTATACTTTAAAGGAATATTTCTTTAAACTTAAACAAATTATGGAAAAATGTCTTAATCCGAATCTTCTATTATTAATGAAATTTTTATAATTGTTTTTATATATTTTTAATTAATAAAAAACACTCTTCTAAAGTTTTCAAATATTATCGCATCTTTTTCCAATCAAAAAACATTTACTAAATTAATTTTAAGTATTTTAAGGCTAAAAGAAAGTAGAAATCTAATTTCTCAAAAATTTCCCAAAGTGTATTGGAGAACATTCAAGATGCGGCCCAGGTGAGGGTGCACATTGCACAGATTAAACATTATTTCTCTTCGTTTTTTTTTTCCTTTTTTTTTTTGGGTTTATCTACCAATACAATGCATAATTTCTAGCTGCTGGCCTGAACCGGAGTTACCAAGAGTCTTTAGCTGTGGGTCCCTCGGCTCGTTTTGGTGTTATTCTAAACGGCTTTTAGACAAAAGCATCAGCCGGGTTGCCCAAGTTCACCTCACGCTGCCAATCAATCAATCACGGCCAAGAAGCCTAGTCATCTGAGCATCTGCCGACTCTCCGGCTCTTTGAGCCTGGTCAAGTGTAATGGTTTTGTCATGATGCAGCATTTAAGCTGCCGCCGTTGATTGATGCGGCAAGAAGTGGCCACAAGAGTGGCGAGTTAGGAATTTCACACCATTGGATCACCTCAACTTGACTCAACTCCCGAAGATCTATGGAAATTTTCTGCCGTACACTTGTCAGTCATTTCCCGCCGTTAGTTCACTTGTGGTACTTGGCCGAAACGAATTGGGAATTCAAAAAAGAAGATTTTAACAGGCTTAAGGAAAGAGATTTGTGGGAGAGTTTAATAAAATTACATAAATCTATAATCATTTTTAATTAGCAACTTTATTAAGCAGTTTGACATTAGAATTGGAAACTAAACAGGAAATAATACAATAAACTATATATAACATGATTAAATCTTTCACTTTTAAATTTATTTTATATCAGAATTTATAATTAAGCTCAAAATAAATACTTAAATATTTCCCAATCATTTCAACATAATCTTGATGTAATATTTTCCACCTGATCCGCACTTCAACTCGTAATTAGTTCAACTTTTTCTTGCTTTCCATTTTCCATTGAAACACCTTGTTAGCCAAGATAGTAAAACGATTTATATTCGTAATTAATGATTGATTCGCTTTTGATTTGCAAACCATTTTCGAGTGAGGAAAAAAATTAAAGCATGAAAAAAAAACACCGACTGTTAAATCCCAATGCCACCTGCAAGGCGGCGTCGGCATATCAAATCAGCAAAATCAAAACAAAATTAATTGACGACAATTGTGGTTGTGTGGCAACCACCACTAAAAATCTGCGGCAACAAACAGCCAAAAAACCGAAACAGTAATTATAGCAACAACCTAGAGTAGAGCTCAGCTTGGCCGCAACATCGACAGACGTCAATTGTCTAATCAACAAATTTAGTCAATAAATCGTAATTAATTAACGTTCGATTGGCAGGCTAAAAGAGTTTTCAATTTTCTTGCATTCGATTCCGACAGAGCGCCGAGAAACTGAAATTCAAATTTGAAAAGGAACCGATCCCCGGCAAGGAAAAAAAAACAAAAACAGAAACAAAAAACATCAAGCACAAAGCCAAATCCATATTCGTGCATTGCGACTAATTTTTATTGCCGGCAAAAATTGGCAACAGCTAATCAGTGAGGCATACGCCCCATGGAACCAAGAAACCGAGAAATACAGCCACAGATTCAGGGGTTTTCTCAGCCAGAAAGGGGTGTGGCTGGCAGGTGGCCATGTTGTTGGCTATTTGATAACATCGTTGCAATGTGTTTATTGTCCAAAAAATAACTACACAATCCGTGAAAAAAATCGAGCACAAAATCGGAGCGACCTTTTTGTTTTTGTGTGTTATTTTTGCCTCTCAAATCGAAAGAC